GAGTAACTTCAGGCTTTAGTTTTAGCTTCAGACCCGGACTTTTGCAACACTGGTATCTATGTCACTGGAAGGAGGGGGAGTTAACCTCTGGATCCGCCTATGCGTGTACTGGCCAAATTGGGGAAGATAAGAGAGGGAGACGATGGACAAAACGAAATGATTATTAAATGGTATTTGGGCAGTGTTAGGGGATTTTTGGAGAAGATCGTTATTAAGATGGAAGAATCCACACCTATGTGAAGTTGCTGAAAACAGAGGGTGGTGAAAACACATTGTCAGCTGCATCGAAGGCGTGAGATTGCGCCTGTTCAAAATATGGCCCATGCAGCTTGCCTGGTTTGTCAGTGCAGAGCTTCTCTGTTACTCATATACGAAAACACACTTGGTTCGCACTACTAAATATCGCTTCTGCTCCACTCTGCCCCTCTTTGCTCAAAATCGGCTGATTCATGAACACATTTACGGCTCATGTAACGATTTCGTTGTCGCACAATAGCGCCGTACGACAAATAAAAAGAATTGCGGTTGATAAAAATTATTTACTGTGTACCGATGATCCCCGCCGATTTTGCCGTCTCTGTGTTTACAGTTCAGGAATGAAACACGGGCAAGCTACCAAATCACTGCACATACAGGCTTCCTTATTTGAAATATCTAAATGGCACTTCCAGTTTTTCACTAACTGTCAAAATTCGATTGTGTTCCTTTTCACGGTGCGCGGCCAGTAACGCCAAACAAACTGTATATGTTAACACATAGACGCGATTTTCGGCCCCTGTTCTCTCCTAATCTCCTTGCCAGGAATATTCACTGTTTGTATCTTTAAAATTTTTGCAGCACTTATTAGGAGCTTCACGTATTTGTATTTTGGGTCTTTTATAGATACTGTATGATTGCAGCCAACTTTTCGATGATGCAGTGAAAACACGTTTACTACGCAGTTTTACAAAAATGCATACATTTTGTACAATTTCTCATTTTAAATTTCAGATATGCATCGCTTAGAACTGCATCGATATTAATCGCTACATTTAATGTTAATGGACGATCACCTTCGCTTGACGGTATCCCGAACTGGCTGACCTATGGTGAAGGAAATCTTCCTGACTTTTATGTCATTGGGTGCGTTTTTTCTTTGCGATTTTATTCCGAACTCCCTTTTTCCTTTGTTCTCATACATTTTTTGCATCTATGCAATGCAAAAAAATTACATATTGTCAAAGGGTTGTCTGTGCGTGTAGGTGTGTGTGTGTGTGTGTGTGTGTACGCATCTGTACCGATTTTTCATCTCGAGACCCAGAAAAGCTACAAGGCTGAAACTCCACGTACATATGGGCTCCTGTCCCCAAAACGGACGCTTTTGCCCACGTGGCTCTTACGTACGGGCCCATGAAATTTTTTAGCGGGGAAGCTGCTAACTCGGGAACCAGCGATGCTAGAAAGCTGTAGTTTCTAGGGAATTTTCCTCGTCCATGTAGAACTTAATGACTTTAAACCCAGCCCCTAGGTATCCATGGTTTTTACGTGCAGGCCTATGAAAATTTCTGGCGGGTAAATTGCTAACTCGGTGACCGAAAAAGCTAGAAAGCTAAAATTTTAAGGGGATGTTTTCTGACAGTCCTGGTAGCCTTTCTCAATTCCTTTAGCTTGAAGTGAATGAAATTTTGTCAGTGGATTTTCAGCTTACAAGAGATGGATTCATCGCCGCAGGCATTTCTGATGAATACGTCAACACGTCACACAGAATGGAATGTCGTGATTGCCCGGTCATTCCCGAAAGATGCCGATTACGATCTCGTGAGCCTCTGACTTCTTCCGTGATTTTTTACGAAATACTTCAGATGCACATGGCCTACATCTTACATTCCGGCAACTTTAGAGCTCCAGGACTTGCATGTGGTGGAAGGAGGCGACGTTGTGGCGTGCTTTTTTAGCCAATTGCTAAAATTCGGCTCGGCTCGGCTCG